CTTGGAAGTGTGTCCTCCAGCCTCGGTCAAGCTGCCAGATGACTGCAGCCCCAGCTGATACCTGATTGCAACTTCATGAGAGATCCTGAACCAGGACCACCCACCCAAGCCTATCCCAAATTCCTGATACACACAAACAGTGAGCAATAGTAAATGCTTTTTTTTAAGTCACTAAGTTTTGGTCAATTTACTGCATTATTACAAAACAGTATTATAAAATTAATACTGATTGTGTGTGCACGTGTGTGTATGTATTTGGTTAGTTGTTGGGCTAATCTATCAATTTAATAATTACTCTTTCTTTAAGATTTAGTTCTTTGTGGGTGAACACAGTAATATAACAGGCCATACATTGTCTAAGGGCAGTATAAACCAATATAACCATTTTGGAGCACAGTTTTTCAATATATAACAGGAACCCTAAAATGTGTTATACTTGGACCCCTATCTCACACAATACAGAAAAATTGTTTCAAAATAGATCAACAACGTAAATATAAGAACCAACACTACAGAGCTCTTAGAAGAAATCATAGGGGTAAGACTTCATGACCATGGATTCTTAGATATAACACCAAAAACATGTACAACAAGAGAAAAAAGTAGATGTCATACTTCATCAGAATTTTTAAAATGTATACATTAAAAGACATTATCAAGAAAGTGGAAAACAATCTACTGAGTGGGAGAAAATATTTGCAAATCATATATCTGATAGGGGTCTACTGTCTAGAATATATAAAGAGCTCTTAAACTTAACTACACAAAGGAAAAAAAAAAGACAGCTAAAATAGGTAGTGGACTTGAATAGACATTTCTCCAAAGAAGAAATACAAAAGACCAACAAGCATATGAAAATATGCTCAATATCCTTAGTTGTTAGGGAGGTGTACTCCAAAACCACAATAAGATACCAATTCATACACATTAGGACAGCTATAACAAGAAGAATGAAAATAAGAACTGTTGGTCAGGATACAGAGAAATTGAAACTCTTATACATTCCTGGTGGGAATGTAAAATGGTGTAGCCACTTTGGAAAGCAGTTTTGTGGTTCCTCAAAAAGTTAAACATAGAATCATCATTTATCTAGCAATTTCAAACCTCAATATATACCCCCAAAATTGAAAATAGGTACTCAAAAAATTCTTGTGCACAAATGTTCATAGTAGCACCATTCAATGATAGTCAAAAGGTGAAGAAACCCTGAATGTTCATCAATGGATGAATGGATAAACAAACATGGTACCTACATACAATGAAATATTATTCAACCATAAAAAAGAATGTAGTATGGATACATACCACAGTGTGTATAAACCTCAAAAACATTATGCTAAATAAAGGAGCCAGACGTAAAGGTCACATATGTTTTGATTCCATTTATGTGAAGTATCCAAAATAGGTAAATCCATATATAAGAATCAGATTTGTAGTTATCAGACGGTGGAGTAAGGGAGAACGGGAAGTGACTGATTAATGGGCATGGGGTTTTCATTTTGGGTGATTAAAATGTTTTGGAACTAGACAGAGGTGGTGGTTGCGCAATTGTGAATGTACTGAATGCCACTGAATTGTTCACTTTAAAACTACTAACTTTGTGTTAACTCTTATGAATTTCAGTTCACTTAAAAATTTTGCTATATCTTTTCACACAGAAATTCCATTTATGGATATGGATCCCACAGAAATACCAAATTCAGGAAAAAAGAGGACATACTCAAAAACAGTTACAAAACATTTTTAAACATGAAAACAACTAAGGTCCTACAATAAGGAGTATCTGTAAGTGGTTGGAATCTAGCCTTTGATTGTGTTTTCCAGTTCAGCTCACCTGCCTTACAAACAAGATAAAGACAAATGATTGTACAAGCCAGTTTGCTGGTATGCAACTACTACTTGCTAGCTGAAAGATCTTGGGTAAATTTCTAAATCTGTCTGATCCTGCACCTTCCAGCTTTTCTAAGGTCGGCTTTCTCTTCTCTGAAATGAGAATAACAGTGTTTGCCTAAAACAATGCCTAATATATGATAATTCCTATTTCCCTACATTTATATATAAAGAGAGATAAAAGGAATAAAACATATAATATACTTTTAGTGGATGTGTTTAGGTGGTTGGATTTTGTATGATTGTTTTTTCCCATCTCTGTTAATGGGCATTATACCCATGCGCGTACACACACGGACACATACACAAAGTAACCACGGCATTAAATTATTCTAAAACCATAAATGATGCCATATTGCTATCTCAGCATAAACCATATAGAACTGAATGGGATTCAAGTTCTTTCATAATTTGGGCTCAATCTGATTTACAAGTTTGTTTTATCTGTCAAAATTGTCAATCTGTGGGCTACTCTGAACTGACTTCTGTCCCTGGAAGACCTACTGCTGCCTCCAGGAAGTCCCACGTTGTCCCTCCACCTGGAATGTTTTTCTACTCATCGTTACCTATTTGCCCTTCAAAGCCCAGCATGTGCTTCCCTCTCCAACACGATTATCTCGAATGGAAAGTTTCTCTAGTCTTTAATATTACCGCTCTTGTGACACATCGTTCAATGCTGTATGTCAGGGATATAAGTGTTCGTGTCATATCACCACTACTTGATTGTATGTTTTTGAAGGAGATGGTTTAATCTTGTGTTTAGATGTGTGTACACACACACACACACACACACACACATCCTGCATAATGTCTAGCCCAGTAGTTTGCACCTGATAGATGATAATAAATAAAATGAATAAATGAATGAAATTATATTAGTTTGATCATATTTTAATTATTAAATAGCTTCCTCTCACTTCCAAAGATTGATGTGACATAAACTATCTTTATTTTTCCTGAAGTTCAGCAAAAAATAAAAAAAGAAGGCAAAATATTAAAATTGGTCCATAGGTATATGTTTATGGTGTTAGTTATATTCTCATAGAATCCTGACATATTTTAGCCAAATATCCAAAGTTAACCTATCGTTATACATTATATTCCAGAGTAGCTGTACCATTACACATTCCCAACAGCAATGTATGAGTGTCCGATGTCTCTGCATGCCTGCCATCATTTGATCTAGTCACTATTTTTTAAATTTTATCCATTTTTTTTTGGTGTGTAGTGATATTCCATTGTCATTTTAATTTGCTTTTACTTAATGGCTAATAATGTTGAACATATTTTCATGAGCTTATTTGCCATCTGTATGTGCCCTTCAATGAAATGTCTCTGCATGTCATTGCCTATTTTCTGACCGTATAGTTGTTTTGTTCTGTTGTTTTTTTGTAACTGTTGAGTTTTGGGAGTTCTTTATATACTCAAGATATTAGTCCTTTTGAACATATGAATTGCAGATATTCCTTCCCATTCCGTAGCTTGTATTTTCATCATCAATACAGGGTCTTTCAGAGACCAACAGTTTTTCCTTACATACACTGTAATTTTGATGTACAGTTTAAGGATTCTTTTCCTAGCCCTAGGTCCCAAAGATTTCCTGCTGTGAGCTTTTTCCTAAAAGGTTTGTCGATTTACATTTTACATTTAAATCCATAATCTATTTTGGATTTTTATATAGTATGAGGCTTAGGTCAATGTATTTTTATTTGTTTGTTTGCTTATTTTGCTGATGGATGTCCAATTGCTCCAGCATCGTTTGTTGAAAAGACTATCTTTCCTCCATTGAATTATTTTTCCAGCTTTGTCAAAAAATCTGTTGGGCATATTTTGGGGGTCTATTTCTAGGTTTTCTATTCTGTGTCACTGATCTATGTGTCTATCCCTCTGTCAATTCCACAGAGTTTTGATTATTGTAGCTACTGAAACCTGATATTTTTTTAATGTTCATTGTCAGCTTAATAGAGCAGTAATTTTAAGTTAAAACTCTTTAAATAAATAATGTTATTTAAAAATCTTTTCGGGATATTCTAATATTTTTGTTTATAAAAATCAAGTGTTTTTCTTACTATTACACGTGATTTTTCAAAGCCTCAATGAATAGAGATAACACAGAGCAAAACTTAAGGAAAAAGGCCACAACTTATAATAGCAAAAGATGTCTTTGTTTACAGTCTCCCTGACTTTTTCAGTGTAAATTAATTATTTTAAATAGAAAATATGAACTAGCCTAAGCACATAGCACATCTTTACCCCAAAAGACTAAAAGCATCAAACAGAAGGTCCCTTCAACTGTGAAATTTCATGTGCTCAAAGGCTTTCAATGCATTATACGAGGCTTCCTGCCTTAAGCCTATAAATTTTTATTGTCTGTCTTAAAGCACATAAAACTTTCTTGAGTGATTTCCAATCATTTATTTTCTACAGAAACTAATCTGCTGAATTGCCTTTTCAACATTTACTTTGCTTTTTAACAGTTCGAATTATATCTAAGTACAAAATACCCAACAACCATACATATTGCTCTAATCGTGCTATAGAGCTGACATGGAATAATGAAACACTAATTGCAATTAGAACATTTTATTTGTTCAGAATTGAATCCTTGGCTCACCACACTTTCAGAGTTTTCTGCAACCACAAGGCTATGTTCAAATACTACCAAAGAATCCAGTGATCAGAACCTGAACCAATATTTTCACCAGTCCCTTCCTACTGTACACATTGCAGGCAGCTCAGGGCACACCATTAGGAAGCGCCCTAATCTATACATAGATGAAACACTCAAGTATATAGTGAAGTTTATCCTGAAAATGTCAAAAACCCTCATTTGTTGGATTTGCTAAACTCTGCCAAACTCCCCTCTAAAAGAGATGGACATGGACCAGCACAGGCACCTGGCAGATTGCCCCAGTTATTTGTTAGCCAGTTGTGGAAGAAAGGACATCATCTCCAAGCCTCTTTTATGCAATATTGGTCATCAGTGTCCCCCTGCAGCTATTGAATATGCCAAATCTTCTCTAGGAGAGTAGATGACCAAGTAAAACTACGAACTATCACCTGAATGCATCACAAAGAAAAGTATTTTTCAAAGAAGATCTTTCCTTTACCTGTTTGACATCATAGGCAAGAAGAACATATTTTAAATCTGGTGAAACTGAATATCTTGATGCTTTGAAAGTTACCTAGAAATAAAAAGAAACAACTGTCTTAAAAAGTTTAAAAACAGAGAGATTAAAATACATTTAGATATGCAAATATCACAAAAAGATCTCAATTCTCATCATAACACTGTGAAACAGGCATTCTCATTCCTATTACAAATATATATTCACGTGTATGTATGTGTGATTATGCAGATAGATAGAAAAACTTGGAGAAGCTATATTAAACAATTCATTAAGAAAAAATCGCTAGCATGTCTTTTCTCCATGTTATCAGTTAATGACTATGCTACTATTTTCATTACGAGAAAAAAAAGGAAAACCCTTGAATTTTTTAAATAACAAACTGCTTTTATATTTGCATGTTGGATTGATCAAAAGGAAAAGAAATAGCCACATTTTGTGGTGTCTGATTTTCTGTCTCCATGCTTTTGTTTTCTTACAGGTTGCATATTTATATTTAAAAGAAGACATTTACATTAAAGACAGAATGTCTTTAAAGGAAAATTCTAGAGTGAAACAGATTAAAACACAAATACATAAATAATTACACTTGATATATATCTCAAGGTACATATATATATGTGTGTGTGTATATATAACACTACACTGTACTTGATTGACTCTGAGTCCATAGTTTTATCATTGAATAAACTTGATATTAGACAGAATTAAAAACAAAGCGAAGGAGAAATACATTGAGAGTGAAGTGATTTTTTTTTGAAATAGATTATATTTAATTTCATATATAAAGAGAATGAAAACAAATTGACTTGACGCATCAAAAGCCTACAAAATACAAACAAAAATATAAAATAAACTCTGTATGAATTTTAGGCAAACTAGTTTGTATGATTTTTGCAGAAAAATACATATATAAATAATTCTGTAAACCTTATGTCAGGGCAGTTTCCACGAAACTGTTTTCTCTGAAGAACAAAAAAAATTTCCTACTTAGCAATCCCCAAAACACAACAGACAGGAGAAGAAACTCAAACTAATCAATATTTGGAAAACTTTGCATGATATTATAAAAATATATTTGGTCTTTTTTCCCTGGTTCCTAACACAGAGCTCCTAAAATGCTTGCAGTTTCCTGAGTGATGAGCGTCTTTCGTAATTAATAACTAATCCTTTTGACCATACCCAGTTTATGCTAATAAGATGACACAAGAAGTAGGGTAGGGGAGAGCGGCTGGATAGCTTCTGGATGGGGGCTGGTCACCCAAGGAGCCAACCAGCTGATAAGAGGATTAGAACTTTCAACCCTATCCAGAGGTCAGTGAAGGTGGAAGGCTGGAGATGGAGTTCAATCACGTGGCCAATGATTTAATCAATCACATCTACATGATGAAACCTTGATGAAAACCTCTAAATAATGAGATTTGGAGGCACTTCCTTGTTAGTAAACATATCAATATACTATGTTGGCACACCTACACTCCACAGAGACAGAGACTGTGCTTGGGACTCTTCTGGATTTTCCCTATTTACCTCTTGACCTGCCTCTTCATTTGTATCCTCTATAAACCAGTAATCCTAAGTATAGCACTTTCTGTGAGTCATTCCAGCAACTTACCAAACCTGAAGGGGGATTGTGGGAACCATCAAATTTGTAGCCAAGTTGGACAGAAATGCAGGTAGTATGGGGACTCAGGACTTGCAGCTGGGTATCTGAAGTGGGGGCAGTCCCTGAGTCTTTAACCTGTAGGGTCTGTACTAACTCTAGGTAGTCAGTATCAGAATTGAATTGAATTATGGGTCACTCTGTTTGTGTCAGAGAATTATTGTTGGAGTAACATAGTTTGTCAATCTCTGAGCCAGATATGCAAGAAACTGGAGCGGTCTGGGAGAAAATACCCTTATATGGTTAGAGTTTTTGCCTGCATGTACATCCATCTTGTACAGCCCATGAATAAGACACTTTAGAAGAAGGTCAGAATTGTCACTGGCAATAATTCATGTGAAGGATTTTGTTTTTCATTTTTTCAAAAATCCATTTCAATAATAATGAAAATAACAACAAAACAATAACAATAGATCTATCATTATCTATCATCAGCTCTGCAAATTGCTGATAACTTTGTAGTTTTCAATAATCCTCAATCTTCCTCATGACAATATTTTGAGGTAGGTATCCTCATTCTTTCTCTTCCTTCTTCTCTTGCTAACTTACTGTGTATTGAAACGATGGAAACTAGACTGTGGGGAATTTAGGGTGACATTGAACACAAGATCATCTCTCTCAAGATTACAGTACTAGAAGGTATATTGTTACACAGTAAGGGGACATTTATTGCTATTTAAAAATTGGTTAAAAGGGCAATGTCCCATGGGGATTAGAAAACTCTAATACCACAGTTCTTAAACTTTTCTCAAGGTCACAGATAAGCACACATAACCAAAGAATAGAGAAAGAACTCCTTTAATAAACCCTGCATTATCTCAACAGCAGGAGTTTCTTTCTATCAATTTGTTTTTTCTAAAGAGAGCTTCGCAATCTGAGTTGTTTAAAAAAAATCTCAACACCCTCGTCCCCATTCACTCTCATGTGATGTTCCTCACACAAATTAACTTCACACGTTCACAGGTGCGTCTGTGCCTCCGGTAACAACGTTTTAGTATCTTTTGCAGTTCCTACAATTATCCAGTCTGGCACTTTATTAATTATCACTATATTGCCTCCAGCTTATGCGGCACACTAACTGGGAAACTTTTCAAGTATCTTTTGAGGGGCCCAAGCTGCTGAACCTTCTCTGAATTTAGAGAGTATTGAGCAGGTCACTGGTGCTGCAAAGAGACTTGCTGATAATACAGATATAAAAAACACATCCTTGCAGCTCAGTCAAGGGACATTGGAAGTCTCAGGCAAATCTTTCTTAGCATAAGCCATTAATGTTATCATCTGTTGCATCTGAGAGATTAATTCTTTCTAGCAGCCACAGGAGACCCCTTGGTCTACATTGACCCTAATTACAGACATTAACATAGTTCTGGTTGAGTCTTAACTTGATATGGCTTCAAATTAGTGTTTGGGGAGGTTTATTATTGCCAATGATGCTATTATATTACCTACATACTTAATCACTTAACTACTTTTGAAATAGAATAATGTAGAAATATTTTCTACATGTGTTTATTGCTATGATTCAGCAACGATGCCTACCAGTGCATTTTCTGACACTGAACATGGTACAAAGGGCATTAAACTGCATGAACTCTGCCATCTAGGAACATTTAATTAAAGCCAAGCAAGGTAGGATAAACAGAGGAAATTAAACATGCAGGTGGTTAACTAAACCAATTAAAGAACACAAGACATTCGATCAACTTAAGAAACAAACGCATGCTTTCAGGCAGCTTGGGAAGATTTTGTAGTACCTCATTTGTATGTATCATTCAATTCTACTAAAAGCCATATATTGAACATTTGCATTATGAGAAGCACTGTGGTAGACACTGAAAGTGCTATGAAGTTGAGAAACCAAATCCCCCAGAAGCTTTTCCTTCTCAAATTGGGCAGGATAAAACAAACACAGTGTTCCTCTGTAGTCCATGGTAGAGCAGGGGTTCAAAACCCAAATGCCTTAAGGGACTAAGAATGTAGTGGACGAAATGAAGCTGTCTGAGTAAATCGAGGGCAAATGGAGTAGCCAGGCTGCCTAAAAGGGGCAATGGCCCTTCAGCTCCAGACAATCATTATTTTACAGGGAAGTGTATATAATATTCTAGTTTTCCAAATTTTTTTCAAGATAAGCTAGAAGGGGGCCAGCCCCATGGCCAAGTGGTTAAGTTTGGGCACTCTGCTTCGTCGGTAGAGAGTTTGCCAGTTCAGATCCTGGGCGTGGACCTACACACCACTCATCATGCTGTGGTGGCAAGCCACAAAGAAGAACTAGAATGACTTACAACTAGGATATACAACTATGTACTAGGGTTTTGTGGAGATAAAAATAAGATAAGCTAGAAATCAAGACTTTAATTTACAATCTTATGATTTTAAAAATATAACCCAATGCTTTTAAATATAATATGAGGACCAGTTTCTGCCTAGGAGCTACCAGTTTGCTAATTTTTGGTAAAGTAATAACTGATATAAGGATGAAGGAGGAGAAAGTAGACAATGCTATGAGATTTAAAGAATTGAACAGTATCCTTTTCATATATTTGCTGGTAATATAAGTGAAAAATTCACGATCCAAAGTTTTTCAGTTAGATGAAATTATAGACTACACTATGAGACTAACCTTGATAAAATGCAGAAATGTTTAAAAAGATTCCTGGAGAGGTGGGGGCCAGCCTCATGGATTACTGCTAATATTAATAATGCACGTACTCTTACCAATACGAATATGGCAGAGCCAATCAATGTTTTCTGCATGGTGCAATTTAAAGCCAAGGAAGCAACAAAATCGCATTTGAATTTAGAACAACTACTCTAGCAGTTGGGTGGAAAATGAGTTGAATCTGTTGACATTTTGAGGTCATGAGATGTGGTAAGAGGCTCTCATGACAATTCAGGCAAACATTATCAAGAAGTTAAGGAAGAAGCAAGGGCATAGAGATGAGGGGACTTATGCAAGACAGACTGTGGACAAAAAGATTTTAATGATTAGTTTGGAAGACAGAAAGAATGGTGTGTACTAAAGAATTCTGTGTTTTCAAGTGTTTATCATTAAGTGAATGTTGCTACTGCAAAAACAAGCATAATTTGAGGAAAATTTTAGACATGCCAATTTTAGACGTGTTATCGTTATAGTCCCGGCAGGATATCCTAGAGGGGATGTTTAGGAATTTTGTATAAAAGCTTGGAGTTTAAGAGAGAAATCCAGGAGCCTCAGCATTAATTAGTTCTATGGAATATTAGATGAAATTTTAAGTTCAATGCAAATCCATCTTCATCAAATAAAAGGCACAAAACCCCTCAAACAACGTTCTACCAGGGGCGGATCCATAACAATGCAGTCATTATTAGCATTGCTTACTATCACTCTTATTCTTTAAATGTGCATGTTTTCTTT